CTGAAGGTTGTTATGAATAATTAACCGTAGAGGGTGGGTTGTAATGAGGATAGCCGTAGAGAGGGCGAGGGTTTTAATGAATAATTAGCCCTGGAGGGTGGGTGGGTTGTAATGAGGATAATTAGCCCTGAAAGAGAAGGTAAGGAGAAGGTTCCTTAATTTTTTTGTAAACCCGTTTTCATTGGATCTTTAAAACAGGAGAAAATTAGATCTGAGCAACTATATTCAAGAGCTGAACTTGAATCCCATTAGAAAGCACAAATTCGTTTTTTTTTGGTCCATCGGATAAATATACTATTTCTATATATAAATTTAGCTTGTCTGTCTGTCTGTTTGTATCCAAAAAACGTCAAAACGGCTGAACCGATCAGGCCTAAATTTTGTGTGGGGCCTCACGTGACCCCAGGGAAGGATTTATGAATGATCAAAATATTAAAAATTTTGCTTTTTTTGTAAAATTTTGAAAATGCGCGAAAAAATATTATGAAACCCCGTAACCGCTTTTGTTTTATACTGTACAAAGAGAAGATGCTCGCAGATAAAACCACAATTTTAAGTTGAAATAGAAGATGGGCTCGAAGCGCGCTAAAAGCCTTGTTTTTTATATTTTAATCTGAATTTTTTAGCATCAAAGAAAATGCGTTTTTTGGTGCACAATTATGAAGGGTTGAATAATCATATAACGAAGAGTAACTTTTCAATTATAATTACGTAAGAATGATAGTACTTTTATAATCCTATGCAATCTTCAAAACCTATGCATTGCGAATCAGACAACTGGAATAAGAAGACAACTTTTAGATTTTATTTTTGACCTTAAAGGGACTGTAAAGTAAAAATGAAAGGGGGATTAGGATGAAACCTGAAAATCTCAGGAGTTGAACGATACCTATAAGACATCTATCTGATGTTCCGGTCTTGTGAAATTGATATAAAATTGTGTCAAATTTACACGAAAATTCATGTATATTGAATTTTGTAGTATTAAACAGATTATATTCAACCAATCTGAAAACGACGATATCCCACAGGAGCCTGAGAATCTCAGGTTTGCTCCTATTAATTTTTTTTTAAATAGATATAAATAATATAATTACATATAGTCCGTATTACGTCACCAGAACTTCAGCCAATCGCAATTTGAGACAGTTTTATATCAATTTCTCGAGACAGGAACATCAGATAGATGTATTATATGTATTTTTTAATTGCCTGAGATTCTCAGGTTTCATCCTATACCCCCTTTTCATTTTAATTTTACAGTTCCTGTAAGTAGTTCAATGAAACTCCCAACAAAATTTCATTTTCATTTAACTTTAAGAATCTACAAACATTTTTTTAGAAAATCCGCAAACTGTTTTGTTTTTGTTTTGTTATAATGTATTTAAAAAAAATGTTCAAAATTATAAAATAAGATGGGCTTCGCCTTGAAAGTCTAGTTCACTATAATCTATTAAATTTGAGATTATTACTTGCCGATAAAACTTCAAAGATTATTAATAATTTTAAATTTTTTTTTTTAAATTGTTTGAAATACTTAATTTAAATAAGAAGCAAGAGTCGAACCTAATTTCATGAATTCAAAAAGAAATTTACTGTATTAGTAATCTTAAACCAATTAAATTTGATTCTTTTCAATTTTTTTTAAAAAAAGAATTGAGGTACAAACTATTGTTGTGTGAATCCCGGGATTGAGTAGATATCCTTTTTTGTAGTTAAAAGCATTAATTTGAACCCTTTTGGGTTTCCAACAATTAGATAAAGAGATAACTAAAATTGAGAAACTACGCAGTCCTTCAGTTCAAAAGTTGTCACACTGAATATCGAGGTCAAGCGCGTTAGATTAGCGCTATTTCATTTAATAGTGTTCAGTGTTCACTTATGATTTGTTTATTTGTTTACAGGCCTGATGACGAGCGGATTCTAAAGTTTCGATCTGAATGGTTTGAAAATGGAGCTCCGCCAACTACTGTCGCTACAAAGAAGATGTAAAACCGCAGAAGAAACAAGATTTGTTTAAAAACAATTAAATTCTTTGTGAATTTAGAATTCCATTGTTTTCAACTTATGGCGGGAAAATGAACTCCCTACAAGTCTAATATAGAGTAGTCATTATAGTACACTAATAGTTTATGTACGCTGTAATGTGTACATAGTAATATAAGATCACTGTACAACCTAAATTCTTTCAGATTGACAGGTACTTGAAGGGTACTTGAAGGTACTTGAAGGTACTTGAAGGTACTTGAAGATACTTGAAGGGTACTTGAAGGTACTTGGAGTTACTTGGAGTTACTTGAAAATACTTAGACCATCTTTCTCTGAGGTTTTCATGTTCTAGGCAAATATTTAACTTCAGGTAATCAAACGTATATCATTCAAGAAGAAAATAGATAAATTCGTAATTTACGAATTCATAATGCTCCTACCTGGAGTTCTGAGGATCACCACACATGTACCCCGAGTAAGTAACGACCAAGCACTGGTAAACGGCGGAATTAACTGTAAGTACCCTGGACAACGCTGGGTTCTCCATCTAGTTTTTGATAAAATGCTCAAATCCACCTTGCATTAGTTCTAAGATTTCTTTGACAATGAAAAAACGTTTTTAATTTTTTATCATTAAAAACATTTTGAGAGTTTTTGTTTACAATTTACAAATAAAATGTCATTTTTGCAATTGTGTAAATCAAATCACTGTTGTAAGCCAGAAACAATAATAAAAAAATGTAGATGGGTTTAAAATATCCATGTGTTTTTAGAATTCCTTGGAATCAAGTTATTTTTAAATGTGTTTAAAGACTAGTTTTTTATCCTTAGATCAAACAATTTGTTTAATATCGAAACAACGGCCAAATGGACGATGGTTAGCGGTTCAAAACGTATGTATTGATACCCATATCACAATTTTTCGGAAAAAATTGAGTTGATTTTTTTTTTTCAATTTTCAAATATCACAAATATTAAAAAGTTGTTTATTTACTAACATTTCGAAAGTTAGAATCAATAAACCGTCAATCAATTTTATTAATATATATTTTTGTTCTTGTTTTAGGATGCCTCTAGCTCACCTTGTAGATCCCTTCAAACAGGTCAATCTCATCGTAAATGAAGAGGTAATTCATCTCATTCAGTGCTTAGGATCCGGATCCGTTGCTACCGCAACATTTTTACTTCCTAGATCCGGATCCGATTCCGTAAACAAAATATCAACCAAAAACTACAAAAACAAATCTGTTGCTCTGAGAACTCGAATATGTACTGTTAAAAAAGAGAGATTATCAAAAAAGTACGAAAATTAAGTCAAAAAATTTTCTTCCGTTCAATAAATCAGTAAATCTTAAATAAATGTTAATGACCTGGATCCGGATCCATTTTTTTAAGGACCCAGGATCAGATAATTGATCTGATACATCTGGTAATTGATCTGATACATCTGGTAATTGAACTGATACATCTGGTAATTCTGATACATCTGGTAATTGATCTGATACATCTGGTAATTGATCTGATACATCTGGTAATTGATCTGATACATCTGGTAATTGATCTGATACATCTAATCGATCTGACTAATGATACAATTGATGTTTAATAGATCTGAGTAACATGATTGATCTAATTCATTTAACTAATAATTAAAAACCGTCTACAGTATCTGATTAATATGAGTAATTTGATGATTAGCTTTAAACTAATTAATCTGGTTGTTAAGGTTGAAGCTAATGAATCTGATTGTTAAGGTTGACACTAATGAATCTGATTGATAAGGTTGAAGCTAATGAATCTGATTGATAAGGTTGAAGCTAATGAATCTGATTGTTAAGGCTGAAACTATTGAATCTGATTGCTAAGGTTGAAGCTAATGAATGTGATCCCTAAGGTTGACCCTAATGAATGTGATTGTTAAGACTGAAACTAATGGATGTTCTGCTGAGGATCCAATAGACATGGATTTAACTCTTGAAGAAACTGAACCTAGTAATCATCATACAATGGAAATAGAGGTCAGTATTAATCTGATTTTGAATAATATAAAAATTTAAGCTGAAATAAATAAGAAAAGGTTTGTTTTTGTCTTGTTTTTGAGAATTGAATGTACTTGAAGGTACTT